AGAGCGTCTTCCAGCTGCTTCCCAATTCAAACCAGGGATGTTTTGTATTTAAGGGAGAGGAAAAAGTTCAGGCTTTGCTGGTAGGTGTTAGTTAAACCCGAACCTGGCATTTTTCCTAGTGCAGACAAAGCCAAACCTCGTGTTGCATCTGACCAGGTTCGGGAAGCTGATGGTCATCAGCTGTGTTACAGCTCTGCTGGGGCACCTGTTGGATGTCACACAAGGGTGTAATTGCAGAAGGATCCCACAGGTTGTAGAAGAAAGGGGAAGGACAGGAAGGGGTAGCCAGGGAAGAGATGAGTGTTGTCCCAGGTCATGCAGCAATGGGAATGAGACCCTTTACCCGAGATCTTTGTGGGATTGAACGCAGCTCCTGGCTTGGCTCACGTTCTCAGAGGAGTCTCCACTTGAATTGTCTCCTCATGTTTGTGCTGGTGCTTTCTGCAGTGAGAAAGCCACGCTGGCCCCGTGGGGCTGGAGGGGTGGCAGATGCCGGTAGCAGCCTTGACAGCCAGCAGCTCAAGGCAAGGTGAAAAGAGGAGGAAAGTGATGCTGGTAATGGCCTTTCAGGCACGACGTGGGCAGCGTGTGCAGCTCATCATCAGGTCAGGCTCCCACTAGGGCTCAGATCTTGCAGTCCACGAAGCTTTTACACAGAGCAGCTTGTGGCCTGATTTTCCCTGTGGAGAACAGAACTCTCTTACCAACACTTAGCTACGCGTTTTTGGCTCCAAACCTTCCCTTTCTCTTCGCGGCAGCAAGATTCATGTAGGCACAGACGCTGCTGCTGCGAACGGAGAGATCGGAGGAAACAGAGCATTAGCCACAAGCAAGAAAGATGGATGTTAAAATAAACCAGTTGCCAAAACAACACCGTGTCAGCCGCACACTGGGATGAAATCCAGGGATGTCTAAACTGGCTGAAACAGGCAGAGGATTTCGGTGTGTGGGAGCGGTGTGTGTTCCCTGTGGCATCTTCTGCCTGGCTGGGCTGTGCCCTGATACCTGGGGATGAAGCTCAGGGGCTGCTCCTCAGGTACAGCAGAGATGGGGGATGCTAAAATGATAATAAGTGGCTTTGCTTTTGCATGTTACTGTCACACCGGTGCTGCCTGCCGTGAAGTACTTGGCACTGGCATTGCAAACCCTCTGCAGAGCAGGATCTTGGGGTATCCCACAGACAATTCAGCCTTGTGGCACCCACAGCGAGGAGCAGACTGAGACGCAGAGCCTTTATCGTGAGTTCCAGCATCTCTTGGTTTGCCAGTCCTGAACATCTTAGGCCCATTGCCCTCCAGTACCTGTATGAGGTCCGTGTGAGCATGACTCTGAATCCTCCTGTTCTGTATGTATGTACTAAAGGGTTAGGCCACACTTGGTAAACCTCAGGCTGAGATCTAAAAATCCAGACTTGCACATTGTACAAAAGAAGCTCTGTTTTCACAGAGACTGAGCGCTCCCCGGTCCGCCAACACCGATTGGAGATGTAAGTGCTCAGCACCAGACTCCTTCCTGTCAGTAGCCCTTACTTCAGCTTAACGAGTGTTGGCTGTATCCATTGTCAATGAAACACAAGTTCAAATTTAGTCCCTGCCAGGCATGAAAATGTTTTCTTGATTTTTTTTTTTTTAAACTTTTGTTTTGCTTTAATGCTTCTATCTTGGAGATGTTCATTTTAGTCTAAATGTTTCAAGAACACAAATATCCCCTTTGTAAGGTTGTTGTTTGTTGTTCTCCTGACCTTGGTTATTTTGTCTTGATGTGAATATATCAAGCTGTGTATATTCACATCTGAGTGTATGACACATGCTTCTGTTATTGCTGCTCGAACTAAGCCTGCCTGGATTTTTCTTTGGGATTTTGGATTTGATTTGTGAGCTGCTTACTTTGCTTCCCTCAATGAAAGACTGCTCCTCCAGCCACGTGTCTCTCTGCCTGCTGTGGTGTTCGCTTTCTTTGCAAACCAGAGCGCCGATTACATGCTTTGGGGTTGGCTTTTTTTCATTCCAGTCAGTTCTGGAAGGTTTTTGCACCTACCAGCCTTGTTTGCCTCCTTCCTCCCCCCGAGTTCATCTTGCCCAGCCTCTGTCTGTTGGTCTAATATTTTGATTTCCCTGTTTCAACTTTGTAGCAGATGTTGTTCAGTCTCATGGTGCCGTCTTCATGGAAAGCACGTCCCTGTCCACCCCCATTTCAGCCCCTCAGTTCAGGGGCTTCCGGAGAGCCAGTGAGATCAGCATTGCCAGCCAGGTCTCAGGAATGGCAGACAGTTACACTGCTTCCAACATAGCCAACAGTAAGTGTTTCACCCCTCCGAGACTTCCGCTCGCTGCCGCTCCGCTCTCAGCGTCACGCACCGGGCCAGAGCCACGCAGCCTCTGTCTGTCTGTCCGTCTGTCTGGGGTTGTACTGTCCATTAATTAATTAAATTTGTTCCACCTTCGCCTGGTCTTGCCGTGGTCAGTGCCACGTGTTACCCTGTCCCCTGGATATATGATACATTGGGTTATAACCCAGGGGCCACCGCTGTGTTCTGCACGTTGGGCTGTGCTGGCGATAACCTGTTCGAAGGGATATGGTAACTGGTAACGCTGGACACCGTTCGGTGGCTGTGCGTGCTGAGGGTTGATGCAGAGGGGTGTTCCTGTGCTGCCGTGGATAAATCCTGCAGAATTGGTAGGGATCAGCGCTGCCAGACTGATAACGCAGGATGTGACCTGTGGCTCGATGCACGTCGCTTAAACGTGGCCCGCAAAAACGGGGCTGAGTAAGCCCCTCTGTAGCGATGAAAGAGAAGAACACGTTTGGGTTAGTTATTACTTCGCATTAGAAATTCAGCTCTACTGCACAGGGCAGCTCAGAGTCAGCCAGTTGTGACCCCTATCCCAGAGCTGAATGAGGAATAAAAGGCATTGTTGAAGAATTTGTTATTTTTCCAAGACGTGTATAACTTCGCAGCTAATGCAGTGGGCAACAACGGCCTTTGGTAACGGCTCAGCCCCTTCCTCGTTTCAGCTGAGCTGTGAGATCAGCAGTCTGGGTCCTCAGGCTCCTCTGATAACTCAGACCAAAAAAGTCTGAAAATCAAACAAATTTTAAAAACCCCAGAAATAGAAAAACCAACAACACCCCACAAAAACTTCCAACCCAAACTCTTGTCCCAGAAGGTGGCAAAAATTGAGATGCGCCATTCCTGGCAAGGCATGACTCACTTCGTCACTAATTGCTGAGGTTAATAACGCTCCCCGAGGCATGTGTCTGTGTCTGTGGGTACCAGTCAGGGGCTGCTGTAACCTCTTGTCCTGTTTGAGGCAACTCTCTGCAGCAGAAATAAACCCCTTGAGCTCCGACAAACCAGGTTTTCTTTCCCCAAGCCCATCCAAGAGCTGACGCCGTGCTCCACGTGTGCGTTCCCGTGTTTGTCCCAGCTGAGACGTCCTGCCGAGCGCTCACTAAATATTAATTTGCTTGGGAAGGAGGCTTCGAGGGGAAGAGGTGTTTGTGCTGTGCTGGTTCCATGCCCATGGAGAGCTGCCCAGCTCAGCTGGCCAGGAGGGGAAGGGGTTGGTTGCCGAGTGTTTACACCGGGGTGATGCGACGGAGGGGTCCTGCCTCTGGCAGGATTGGGCCAATGCAATGCTTGCCTCTTCGCTCCCCCCACGCTCTCCCTGATTATTTACCTTCTAGTTTGTGTAATCTGTTCCTCCATGTAATTCCCAGCTGTCCAAACCTGTTTTTGAGATGGGAAGAGTCCGGCCCCAGTGCGGGCTGCGCACATACCCCGACCCCATGGGGTCCCAAGGGCTGTCGCAGCCCCTTCCTTCACCCCCCGAGTGCCGACGTATCCTCCGAGCCCCGGCTCTGGCTTTGCAGCTCTTGCGCTCGACCTTGTTAATGGGAAGATGGAGCCGTGGCATTGAGGGTTGGATGCAGTCCATGCTTGTCCCACAGGGAGAGCCAGAGGAAGTCCAGAGGGGCGCCGCAAAACCATGGCTGCCTCAGGGCTCCTCTCTGGGGTGCAGCTTCCCTCGCGCTGTGATTTCTGGAGGATGTAACGGGTGTTGCCTGCGGCACGTGTGCCATGTTAATGAGCGTAATTTCTGCTTTTATTTTATTTTTCCTTTTAGAAACCAAACACCACCTTAATCATTGTAGAGGGTTTAGCCTTCTGTCCCAACTCGCCCTCCCTCACAAATCCCCTACCCAAACCTCGTCCCAGAGACGTAGGCAGCATAAACATGAAATCCCTTTGAAGGGAAGAAAGCTCAAAGGGCCGTGGAGTCAGGCTGCAGACTCTGCTCTTCGGATACCCGACCTGGACATCAAGACAGGTATTCTGGAGAGATCCACTCTGGTGCACCTCCTCTCTCACTCGATAGTCACACAACCTCACAACAAATCTGTGCGCTTTCACTGAGGCACTTGCAATTTCTGATTGCGTTTTAACAAGTATTTCTGTCACCTTGCTCCAAAGATCGGTCATAACACGGCTAACAGCTTGGCAAGAGCAGAATTCTTCTGGCAGAGCGCTTCTGCCTCCACCACTGTCTTCTGAGCATGGAAGAGTAAATCCTGGCTGCTTCCTACAAAGAATCTGAAATTACCCACCTGGGGGACTTGCATGAGAAATGAAAGGTCAGGACACAACCTGGGAACTGCTAGTTTGGAAGACAGGGAATCAGAAATGGCTGCGAGGAGGTGCCTGGGTGCTCTGGAAAAGCTGTTAATCCATCACCGCCCTCCTGCCCGTGGCTCTTCAGAAAAGTGAGGGCCACTGGGATGGGGGTGGCTGGGGCACTTGGCACAGCCTGGGCTGGGCCCCCAGATGGGCTGATGCCGTAGCTCTCTGCACACTGCTGCAGTGGGAGTTTTGTCCAGGAGGGAGCTGGTGGGTCCATTTTTTTTAGTTTGGCATCTGTGCTCATCCCCAGCTAGATTTCCCTTCTTTCTTGGATCGTACCTTATACCTGGCACCTTTACTGGAAGCCTGTGAAAAAGGGAACGCTTTCACAGAGGAAGAACAAGCCTGAGAAAGCCCTGGTCACAGCCCCAGCTTGCAGCCTGCATGCCAGCCCAGCTCCTCAGCTCTTTATCTGATCCATCTTCTCTTTCCATGGCTGCTTTTCCAGCCCAGAGCGCGTGGGGGCTTGAGGACTCCGCGCTGCGGGGACAGCAACCCCCGCCTTTGGGATCCGAGGCTTTGGGCTAAGATGCGCTCATCGCTGGGGAGGCCAATGGATGTGTGCGTGGGCAGCGGTCAGGGCTGCGGTGTGCCGGTGTCCCACAGGTGATCGGCGCTGTGTGCGAGTCGCTGGCTCCCTGAGGGAGAAACTCTTCTGTTGTCTGTAATGTGCTCACCCCAAATCCCAGTGTGTTTTTTCGGTCCCACGTGCAATGGACTCCTGGCACCCCTGGACACTTTGGCCACTGCAGAGGCCAGAGGTCTCCGTTGCCTACAACGTGGTAGCCCGGGAGGGTAACCAGGACTACTTGGGGACTGCTGGTCCCAGCAGCATGTGCCGTACCCTCTGCCTTGTGGCTTTTAGCATCTCATGTGGGCTCCTAGTGTTCAGAGCTTCTTTAGCGTGGCCAATATCTGGGTCCTAAAGTGTCTTTTATTCCTTGGAGAAAGCTCAAGGAGTTGGAAGTGGGCCCAGAGACGGCCTGGGAATGAACTGCGGTGAGCAGACACACCCCCCCTTCCTTCCCTTCCTCCCACCGCTCCAGGGAGATGCGTTTCTGTCTTATCTTTTGGCTCTTGAACCCCTTCCCCAGGCTCTGGACTAACAGCCAATTAATACCTGCTCTCCCGTGCCTTCCTGTTTGCTTCAGTAAAGGAGAACTGAACTGGGGGGGCCCCTGCGCGTTCCTCCCTTGGTTTCGGCAAACACTGAGCCTGGGGTTGGTTGCCCCGTCAGAGCTGTGTGACCGGCCAGGTAGCCGCATCCCAGCGTACCTGGAGCGAGGAGCCAGAGCCTCAAAATGCCGTTTGTGACGGAGACGGCGCGTGAACCCCCTTTGTCTGAACGAATCTTTTGCTTCCAGTTGCTGCCAAGTGGTGGGGAACCAAAAGGATCGACTACGCGCTCTACTGTCCCGACGCCCTGACGGCTTTCCCGACCGTCGCCTTGCCGCACCTCTTCCATGCCAGCTACTC